CCAGCAGAGGAAGAAATGTCCCTTCTGTGGGTCCTCACAGCATCTCAGGCCATTGATGTCCTGCTGAGCCCAGGGCACCAGACCAGCCAGCCTGACTGACCAGCATGTCACCCACGGCCGCCACCTTCCCTCCTCCCCTCAGATCCGCACAGCACTGCCTGAGCCTCCCCTCTCCTCCTCCTCCTGGGGAGCTGGAGAAGCGTGTGATGGCAAATGACAGCCTCACCTCTTCACCCATGGAGTGGGGGCTGGATGAGATCTGATCAAGCAGCTGCTCGTCAGTCCTGAGCATTGTCTGCCCATCACTCAGAAGCCACAGGCTGCCCTGTGTCACAAGTCCCCGCAGGGCTCTCCCAGCAAGGCCTCCAAAGACACTGAGGGGATTTTCAAACCAGCTGGTTCTGTCTGGTGTGCAAGTAAATTACGCAGCTGTATTGTATACCTGCGTGGCTGGTGGCAGTGGAATGTATTTTAGGAGTTTATACAGGGATTTCCTGGGCTGGGACATCACATTCCTTTCACCTTTTCTTGGTCTGAAAGCAAGGTGGGGCAGAGCACCAGAGCAAAGCAGGTGCAGAGGACATCAGGAGTGCCCAAGCTGTGTATGAGCTGTATGCATTGAGCTGAGCACACCTCAAAACAACCCCCCCCTTCCCGTAAGGATCATTGCTGGCACCCAAATGCAGGATTTATCCCCAAAGAATCCTTCTCCACAGTTTGCTGAGTTATCTCCACATTCTGATCTACAGGAGCACATGGCTGAAGCAGTTGGGAAGAATGCCAAACACTATCCTACTGTCTCCCCTGCCCAGTTAAGGAAACAAACTCACTCAGGTGGAGCTTGGCTAATGTAGGAACTTCACAAAGGGAACTCACTTCCCTGAGTATACCTGAGAAACACTAGAAACAGAAACAGAATTTTTATTTTAAAAGGTGATCAATAAGAGCAGCTCTTAGCAAGCCTGGCCAGCCAAATACTAAAGGTAACCCTGCATAAACCAATACAGGACATGGTCAGATTTTGGGACAGTGGGTCAGAGAAGGAACAAGCTCCCATGAAAGACAGGTGCTCTTTAATCTCAGGACAAGACAATACCTCTGGGCCTTCTCAGTGTAATCATGGGCCTTCTATAAGCATCTGCTCAAGGGCTTTTCACCTCTGTCTCAGCCCTCCTGTAAGCACTGTCTGTACACAAATCTCTACTTCACCTCCCTCAGATGCTGCATTCTGTCTGTACCTCATGGGGCGGCAGAGGCGGCTATGCTTCGCCTGCTCTGGGTGACACACTGTGCAAGTTCACAGTTCCACAAACATTAAACAAAGCCTTGCTCCAAGGATATGGCAGCCTTCCCACATCCCCGGCTGAGCAAATGGAAACACTTCCCAAAAGCACATGTAGTAAAGGCTGTCCTTGATGGCTCTGTGGGCTCAGGGCTATGTGCCAAGGTGTGCTGAGCAGCTGAAGTAACAAGCACCCCTGCACCCACCCTTCCACCACCTGCCCTGGCCCAGGGCACTACCCAGTCCACTTAGGTAGGTCCAGAAATGAGAAGGGATAGTTAAATTCAGGGATAATTAAACTCCTTGAGAGCCAAGGAAAGGCACCCTAATCCTGGCAGGCTGAAAAGTGTTTTTCAACATCTTGTGACATGGGAGCTTTCAGAGCAGTGATGGAGCTCATCCAGATTCCCATCCTGGGCTGGAGCTGGCGTGTATCACCCCAGGGCAATGGCTTCATTAACATCAGTGCCAGTGCCCAGTTCTCCAGCACAGGATCCCTGCCAGTACAGACAGTCCTCTGGAGACTGCTCCTGCCATCACTGAAGCCAACCACCAAGATAAAGGCTGCCTGAAATCCTTGAGGAGAGGAACTTATCCCAAGAGACCTGGTGGAAACAGCAGCAGCTGTGTTTCTGTTTTGCTTTCAAAGGGTAAGCACCTTTTCTCTCCCTATCCTACTGTTGGAGTACAGTTTGTACATCCCATCATTCAGATGTCTGACAAATTATTTCACAGAGTGTTCTTTATCCATAGCTGTGACAAGCAAATTACACTGATTTAGGCTCATCTACCTTGGTCTCCAGGGAAGCTGGATATTAAACTCTCTCAGAACTGGCAGCCTGAAGCACTGTCACCGCTCAGCCTGAAGGAAGATGCTGGGATGGCTTCCCTACTCAACAAAAAATGGCTGCTCTACTCAGGGGAGGAACTAAAATATGATGAAGGGAGCACCACATTACTCATTCTTTCTACAGAAACGAGGCCCTTCTTAGCGACGGCAACAATATTTACTCCAAATAGCAGGTCTGCAACTTCACCCCTGGCTCCAAGAAAACTATGTGTCTTTTCTTGCTGACACACAGTAAGTCCTATGAGATCCTGCAGGCTCCATTACCCCACTTGGTGGCAGCCAAAGTGCCTAATCATGCCCATAAAATGATCAACAGGCACCAGGCATGAAAGGCAGAGATCACTGGTGGCCTTTCAGTGAAGCCAGAAGAGGGTGTGCCCAGCAGTGGCTTCAGAATAAAGGAATCATAGAATATCCTGAGTTGGAAGGGACTCACAAGGATCATCAAAGCCCAACTCCTGGCCCTGTACAGAACAACCCCAAAAACCACAGAACATAACTGAGAGCATTATCCAAGTCCTTGAGCTCTGGCAGGCTTAGTGCCATGGCCATTTCTCTGGAAAATCTGTTCCACTGTCCACTGGATGAAGAATCTTTTCCTAATATCCAGCCTAAACCTCCCCTAAAAAAAAGCTAAAAGGAAACCTGAACACTGGCCCACCCCTCAACTGGGGATTGCTTGGGCACTGCCATGGGCAACTCAGTGAGTGCACTATTTTGCTATTTACATATATATATATGAACAGGAAAGAACAGGACAAAATCAATCTTCTAGTTCTTCCTTCTAGGAAAGTGGGACTGCTCCTCCCACCACTAATGCTGAAACCCTCTTCAAAAGGGATCAGTGCAAAAGTTATTTATTTCTTCTAAAAGTAGCTGGGTCTTTATTTGGTATGATAAATGCAGAGCTGCCACAGGCCAGGCTTGCTGAGAGTGCCAAGGTTAAGGTGCAATGGCACATTTATCCTCACAATCAAGCTAAGCTTGTAGCCCATTTTCAACATAAGCCTACTCTAGCAAAACAATTTGTCCTTTAATCACAGCAACAAAGACAGGCTCCCAGACTCCAGCTATTTTAAAATGCACTCAGATAGGTCCAGATAATTGTTGGTGAGTAAGGAAAAGCTTTGAAGTTCTTGAATCCAGTAACAAAAGCTGAGCCATGTGAGGAAAGAGGCACGGCTGGCAGGCTGGCTGCTGCCATCTCCTCACAGGAATTTGTAACTCTTCTATTAAACCCTTCTCAAAAGGGTTTCTTCTCCTCCCCTCTCTGTAACCCTCATGTAAAAGCCCCAGCAAGAGCATAACAACAGGATTAATGTTTTTATACAGTTCAGGAAAGCAATTTAGAGCCTTGCCCTCAGTATTCCTAAAGGTAGTATTAAAAAGCTTATTTGATGCAGAAGATCCCTTAAAATTATCATGAATATGATGTGATTGACCTTATCTGCAATACAGAATCATACTCTGTCTTTGAGGTACCAGAGGTTTTACCAAGCATTGAAAAACCTTTTCTTTCCAAAGTCCTAGAGAAAAAAATCTCAAGGACCTCCTAACAAATGACCAGATGACAGAGACATCAGTACAAGTCAAGTATTAGGATTTTACTTCCCCGTTTGTTCATGTAATCTGCAATATATCTACTAAAAATGAGAACACAAGTGAATGAAATTGAGAGTAGCAGGCTATTCAAAACTAAATGCAGAATACAATTTAGTTTTATTATAATTATTTGATAAGCTGTATCTTTATCTCAAATACATTCTTAATAAGAAAATTAAATTCAAGCATAAACTAATGGCAAGAGCACCTTTTGTCAACTGGATGCATTTCCTCTTGCAAAAATGAAACTGAAGCAGGCCTGGTACTTTTCAACTGCAGACATCACAATGTAGTGGTATCAAATAAAGTCTGCTATTACATTAATAATATTATCTATTATGCATTAATATGAATATACATCAATAGGAAACAAAAATCTGGGCCAACAGCATTTTAGCAAAAAAAAAAAAAGTTACTCTTGGCACCATTTGAGTACTTGGGAACAGCCTGGACAATACTGAACAGGCAAACTTAAAGCCTATATATATAAATTAAGAATAAAAACTGAAAATGCTTTCACTTGAAAAGCAAACCAAAAAGTTCAATGCACTCCCACATATACATTAATGTGTTTCAGAAACAAAGGAAAGACAGATTTTGACACCTTTTATGTCAAAATTAAGAGAGCATCATACAGTATCACAAAAGCAGCATAAATTCTGCACTCAGATTTTCTTCTTTAGTTTTAAGCCTTCTGAATACTTGAGCCTGTAGTCCATCCAGTCAGGCAGTTTAATCTTCACTTCAAACATGGTTTGCCTTTCAGGCAGACTAACGATTTGGGTTTTGTTTTGCCCCCCACTGGCATCTCAGTGCATGGAGATGAATCACACCAGTTGATATTCACTCTACATGAAGCACCTGCAGAAAAATATCCTGCGTGTATTGCATATATTTATGTCAAAATCATGGTGTGGTATTACCTACCAAAATAAGAATGAGCTACAGAAACCTCAGAAGAACATCCAGACAGGAATGCTTCTGGATTTTGTAGACGATAAGGAACTGTCTGATCTAGGAAATGTCACTAGTAATAAACCCACTTTTAGAGTATCTCCAGCTCATCAGCTACATGAACAGAACAGGAGTAATGCCCTTTTTTTCCTGCCATTTAAAAGAAAAATTATCCTTCTCACCAGTTAATGGAAGCCTGCCTTGCAAGAAAAATTCCTGCTGAATGCTATTTCTCAGAAACAACCTGATATAGATGTATGAATGGGGGAGCAGGGGGTTTTCAATGATGAAAAGGAATACAGGCAAAGGTCATAATGCAGATTTATGAAAAATAAATTTATTACATAACACCTTGTTTTAACAATGTTTGATTTTTTTTTACTCAGAATACTTGTGTCATTCATGTAAAATAGTTTGATACAGTACATTGTATGTAAGTTTTTCCTCATAAATTCTAAGGCTCTCCTAACATCTTGTTCCTCTGCAGTAGGAATGGCACCCCTAAACAACGTGCGAACATTTTAAAAAAAAACAAACAAACTGAACAAAATTTAAAACCCACTACACCAAGCTGGTTCTCAAAAATCATGACAAAATATCTGAATGGATGCCGCACCTTTTTAGGAAATATCATTCATGCTTTTTTAATCCCAAAGCATGCTCACAAATCATTAACACCAACAGGAAAAAAATAAAACACTGTCTATGACAATCATTTTAGTTTGTTTGCTGAACCAAACATGTTTATATCAATGACAACATACTTATTTAACTATCAAATAGCAGCTTTAATACCAGTCAAGTCATAGATTTCAAAACAAAAACAAAAACTTATGTTGGAAATAAATCTTTGGGATGCTTGTAATTGCTGGGAAAAAATGCAAACGCTTCCATGTTCTTAAAAAAATCTCATCGTAGCAATCATGTCGGTCATAAAACATCGATCTAGCTGAAAAATGAACCAACCCACAAAAGTCACTAAAAATAAATGTCTATCAAAACTGTCTGAGAGTTACGGTTAGTTTGCTTTTTTGCCATGGTAACATATACTGTATGCTTCAAGTACCAGTTCAAAGATGTCGCGTACTACCGGTCAGATGAAGTTGTTACATCAAGAGAATTCACCACATACGACAACAAAAATGCTTGCCCCTAGCACATTTCACAGCTTCACCTGCTACAGACTGTCACTGAAAAAAATGCATCGCTCAGTCTGAACCATGTCAAGTAAACTACAGAAGTAGCATATCCACAACACAAACCGTGCTAGCACTTCCTTTTCAAGTCTAAGCCCAAGACCAGGTACAAGGTGGGAGCCCCGGCACCGTGGCGGGACGGTGGGAGGTGTGGTTGTACAGTACATTCTGCGGCCCAAGGCGGGCTCCTGGCGGCAGCGGGTGCGGCTCAGTACCGGTGTGTCTGGTGCGAGTACTGCGGCGGCTGCTGCGAGGTAGCTGAGTAGCCCATGCTGCTCTGGGGCTGCGATGTGCTTGGTCCGGGGTTGGGGTAGGCAGCATGGGGGTTGGAACGCTGCAGGGGGGAAGCACAGACACACAGCCCTTCGTGACACGGACACGGAGAGACAGTTTCACCTACTGACTCCTTTCCTCAAGAGGCACCCAGCACGCACAGTCTCAAGGCAGCTGCACTTCCAGGCTTTGTTCCACTTTGATTACAGCAGGTAACAGACATCAGGAATACCAGATAAGAACGTGAGAGCTGCCAGCCTTCTGCTATCTACCCTAACGGGAATCTTCACCCATCACAGTCAAACCTCCAGCCAACCCTCCAGATGGCTACTGTGCACCTGCACGTGACACTGGGCTACCACCACTCATGGCAGTGGTTTTCTCCACTTGCTCCCTTCTCCTAGCAGGAAAGCAGGCTGGGGTGGAGGTCCAGGTGAGGCATCTTACTGCTGATGAACCACTCTGCCTTATTCTGGAGATTTTCACACAGAGCGGATATACTTGCTACACTTCTGTGTGACCACAGGCAGACAGCACTGTGGCTGGGCTAAGGTGTCATCCATCAGCAGCCTTAAAATGCTCAAAAGAGAGTTTAAAGACAACAGTGACATGTTCCTCAGTGGAACCAGATATTTCAGGCAAAAACGTACTTAGCTTGTGGCTGGGGAGGTTCAGGTGGTACACTGGAGGAGTCAGTACAGCACTGGAAGAACTTGCCCATAGAGTCTAGCAGGGTTCTCTCACTCTATGAAGGCTTTTAAGACTCAACAAAGCCATGCTAACCAGAGTGAGAACTAGCAACAGCCTTGCTCCAAGTGGGAGACTTGGCTAGATGGTTTCCAGAGGCCCCTTTCAACCAGCATTCCCACAATTATTTGAGTGGACCATTCATCATTGCAAGAAGCCCTCCACAAACCAGGAACTGCCCACTTCAATTTTAACCTGAAAGTTATTATTTACTGAAAATGTGTTATAAAGGAAAGAAGGACTGCCTGTGAGAATTTCAGTAAGTATCTGACCACTTAGTAGCACTTAACATTTCATTAAATTAACACAATTTCAGTACATTACTGTGCTGGTTTACATCCACATTAAGGTTTACATGCCCTCACAAACTTTGGAGCATTTAGAAACTGTGTAGCTTCTGAATTCTTGATATCACAGCACATACTATGTTTTTTAGGAAAAGCTGCTCCTAGAAGAGGTCTGGAAACTTCTAAAAAGTAACTACTCCAGGACTAGGGGATTGCTATTGAGACCTGAATAGGAAAAAACTGTGGTGAACCAACATCCTGAGAAAGTAATATACTAAGTCCCAACATAAAACAAAAACCCTAATTTTTTCTTGTACAGCATTTAGAACAGAAGCTATATACAGGAAGCTGAGATGATGGCAGAAATAGAAAAGGCATATCCTATTTGTTAACACACACTGACAGGACTGAGCTAACACCTCTAGAGAAAAGGGGGAGAAATGGCTGGACCAGCACTTAATGTCAGTGGGAGCAAACCACCACTGCTGATCCACACCGTTAGCACAGGGACTGAACTTTGCTGACATTTGCCTTCAGCCTTGAGAGGAACACTGAGGCACTCATCAACAGAAGGGTCACAGCTTGAGTCACTCTTCTCCATGTTACAAATACAGGATATACTTCAAAGAGCAAAAGTCTTGAATGCTGGTTCTGCCCATGTGTGGCTCCTGTGTGTAGGAAACTGTCACAAGTTTAACCATTTAAAACTGACCACTCATTTCAGCTGTAAAACACTCCCTGCATCCTGACTTCTAAAACAGATCTTATTTTAAGACAGACGCAATGAAAAATCAGATTCCTTCATGACACCCAGAGCAACAAATGGCTTTTGTTTAAGAAAAAAAGTAAATATCCAGTCCTTTCTAAATACCATTAAGCACCCAGAGGGTTATCCCAAGCAAAAGCTCAGGGTAGTGGAATTGCTCCAGCCTGCTTAATCACATTGCCTTTGGGAGTGTCACATTGCAGATTTAAACAAGGAGGCAAAGTCTGTGTGCCATGTGTCTACTATTTTTATGCATGGCAGAAAAGGATATGAGGTCAATGTGCCCTGCAGAGAGTGATCTGACTTCTGAGTGAATGCAGAAACTGTCTTAGTGTGCCTTGCCCAGGAGATGGCAATCCTTCTTCACAAGCTTTATATGGGGAATTTGAGCAAATCAAATGAAGAACAAAGGAACAGGTGTTTGATTAAAACAGAGGGCTGTATTGTAATGGGTTTTTTCCCTCTCCTCAAGCTGCTGGATCAGAAGCAAAAAATGTGAGGAATTTTTTTCAGGGAGATCTGAAACCACCAGTGGGAAACTCTTAACTGCTTTTGTTCTAGTGCTGGCAGGTTCAGGTCTCCTCTCTTTGATTATCATGTTTTCCAGACACCTTAATCAGAACAAATCTACTGACTGTCTCTTTGCAAGGCTAGGGGTAAAAGGATATATTTTTTTGAAAACCAGGCATTTTCCCTCCTAGAGAGACAGCAGGAAGACTGGTCAGGAGCAGTCAAGTTAGCAGTAAGAGCTCCTGAGACAGAAAAGCAGCAGTTATCATTATCTTAAGGGAGAAGTATTCTGAAATTGTATTTGTCAACAAGGGCTGTCCCCAGATGTAATCCCAGGATGGATATCTGCGAGTGCAAAAATTCTGATGGGCATGAACTGAAAACAAACCAATGCCAATTCTGGCCAAGAAATTTGATTTCTCTGACTTGTCAGCCAGCAAACCTCAGCTCTGGCTCACAGAACTGGGAGCTGAAGTTAATTCAAAACGCCCCAATGCAGCAGCAAAATGAGGTGAAGGGCATGTAAATAGGGCATGTAAATGGGGCTCCCTGACACAGTACACACAACCTCTGAATCAACCTCCCTAGATGTGTGACTCCACCCTAGGGCAAGATTAAGAAAGTTACAGCTGCATTTGCCTTCTGCTCTGTGTGTGTTTTTAAGAAGTGGAAGAAAGAGCCAATTAAAAGGCCAAAACAGCAATTGACTGCAGCTTGCCAGATTGAAAGGGATGAAACTCCTGTAAGCGTGCCTGTGATGGATAATCCTACTAAAAGAAAGATGGCATTTATACTTAGAGGCACCCCACCCTGCAGAACTATAGTTAAGGCTCACCACTGTCTCAAACAGCTCTAAAATGTATGTTGTTCAAGGAGAATGACTTGCAAACTGATGTGTTATTGATGTCCTGGGATAAACTGAACAAAGGCACTTGGGGACTACATGAAGAGTCTCACAATAAAGCTCCTGAAAATGATCTTATTTTACATTTTGTAGTACTTTCAAGTTTTGGCCAATGCTGAGAGTACACAGATTTAGGTAAGGATGAAGGTAATGCCCCCAGGCAGCTTCTGAGGCTATCTGGTTCTCTGAGGAACAAACTCTGAAACACAAGATTTCAAAGCCCATTGGTGGTTCATGGAAAAGCTGTATCAAACTGAAAGGCAAGCTGACAGCAGCAGCTTTACTGACTCTGTTTTTAACTCTCCCCATGTTTTGCTACAGACTGTAAGCCCAGCTAAGTGGGTTTCCATTATCAGGGTCTCACATTTACACAGCAACCTTTAAATTAACAGAAAACACTGCCAGTAGTTTCCAACTTCCCCACCCTTTGGTTCCATCCAAGACTGTCTGGCTCCTGTACCGTGCATTCCATGCAAACCAGTATGCAGTGGTCAGTTCCTACAGGCTACCACTTCCAGCAGCATGCCTCCTCTTGAAATCTCCTATTCCCTAGGCTGGCAAAAATCTGCTGTTCTCTAACTGCTCCTGGGAATCATTTGAAGTCTTCCCTGCTCCTCTTTTGTAACTTCTAAACTTGTATTAACCAAAGGTTCTGTCCTTGACTCTCTTCTCCCCCATCTCCAGTAGTAGGCTTATCCAAACCCAAAAACTCAGGTGTCATTTGCTGGGATGACAAAGATATTGTTATACTCCTGGCTCTGATTTCTTAATGTCTGACCACAAGCTCAAATGCAGAAAGGCCAGAACACATTTTTCATGTTTTCCACAAGTGCTTTTTCCCAATGTGCCTCCTCATCTTCCTCACTCATTGACTGCCACCACCTCACCTGTCTTCAGATCTGCAATATTTGGCTTACTCAACCTGGAATCTCCCTTGATCTTCAAAAGAGCTTATGACAGCATCATGCTAAGTCTTTGTCATCCAAAATACTGTTTCCACATCCATTAACCGACTAAAACTTGTTCAGATTCTTATTTCACAGCTTTTTTACTGCAACATCCTGCCTCCTACCATTGCAGGTTTGTTCAAGCAAGAAATGGCATTTTTAGGTGATACAGAATACAGCATAACAGGCTCCTGGTCCATAACCATTAGCATTCCCTAATATGAAGGGAATTGGTAGTAACTCTAATAATGTCTGATCCTAATTCTCTTACTGCTAACCTAAAGAACATCAGGATATTAACAAATCATCAACTAAATGAATAAATAAAAAAAAAGCCAAAAAGTAACAATTAATACAGTGACATTTACAAAATTACTTTTTTAGTTTGAAGAAACACTGCTCTAAACATGAAAAACAAATACACAATATGTGAATAAAGCAAAATACCTGATAGTCTGAGGTCATAATAAGTCCACCTGAGGTAGTGGTAGGAGGAACAACTCTCACTTTTTTCAGTGGGGGTCCCTGTGTGTGACTGTTGTCTTGGTTCCCTGGATGACCAGTTCCATTAGTATGGTTATTGCCCTGCTGCTGCTGCTGGTTCTTCTCAATTGTTTGAACACAAAGAAAAATTTCAACTCAAAAACAGTACATGAAATAACATAAAATCAGGAAATAGTGTAAAAGCCAGTGAAACATGATGATACTGTTCTTCTAGTACTTACTTTGTCTCCTTTATCATCTGGTTCTTCTTCTGTTAAAAATTCTCGTTTTGGGTAAGGGATTTGACAACCTGCAAAAACACTGTCCCCCAGAAAAGTCTATTTATCACTGTATTAGAACAGAAGGGTAAGACCTGTAAGATTCACACTTTACCCATGATAGTTTCAAGCTGCCTAAGCCATCATTTCATACCTGTAACTAAGGGAGAAGTTTTCCCTGACTGACTATCACCATATTCTAAACTTTGCAAAACCATAATCATTTTTACATACTCGATTTTAATGTTCATTTGACTCTAACACACTAACTTAAGCTCCCAGTAATTTTTTTGTTGGTCCATCACTTGTTAGGTATCTACAAGGGCACAAAGAGCTATCTCACTTATAGCTATTCTGTAATTCCCAGTTTCAGGACTAACTATAAATATTCCTGGAAACTTCACTGACTATTAAAAAAAAAAACACCTGGAAAAAAGTTTAAAAGTAACTAGAAATTTCACCTGTCAACTCATACCTCACAGCCCACATGGATTTGCTACTTCTAGTGCAAGCTAATATTTAGCTGCCCTTCATCAGTAGAATGTATTTATAATAAAGTCTCTGTACACCTGTTAGCAATACTCACTGTGCATTCACATTAAAATGTCAATCTAAATTTGAGAAAAATGCCAAACACTATCCTAAAAGCAGCTTCTGCAACAGGTAATTGTTCGCTTGACTTTAAATCACAGAGACAGTTCAGGAAACGCTATAAATAATCCAGCAGGCTTTCGTGAAATAATTTCATTTTTAATTAATTCCTTATAAGTATACATATTTTATAAATTCTTCCCTGCATAAGAGCAGAGAATCACAGACAGGATGTACTAATAGCTTTCCTAAAAGGGTGTACAGTCATGCTCTCTGGCTAGCCTTTTGGAAGAAGGGCTTAATTTTTAATGAAATCATTCACTGTCCATAAATTCTCTCCCTTTTGTAAATACGCCTGTGCAAACAAAACAGAGGAGTGTCTACAGAAAATGGATTTAAGTTGTTAAGGATGACAGCACAGAGACACAGACTTGACTTTCCCCACCCAGTGAATTTACAACAAAGGCTAAGACAAAAATGTAAACTAATTAGAGACTGTCATCTGGCATTCTGAGGCAGAGAAGCGGACCTGCGGGCACTTAGCAGTTGTCTACCAAGATCTGTAGCATGCATAATCAACCTGTCAGTGAGTAACAAGATTAGTGCTGCAACTAATAGGATCAAAGTTCCATAAAGCAAGAGATTAATAAAAATGCTACTTAATTTTAAAAACCACGAATGGCATTTTAGTGGTTATAGCTCTCTTCGGTTGTTAGCCAGTATTTAGTTCAATATTCACAAACATACTTAGGGCAGAGAGAAGGCACAGCTCTAAAACATCTCTGAATGCACTGATAGGTTCATAAACTGACCACTTACTCGGATGTGGGAAGAGGATCTTCCAAGAAGTAAGGATCCTGCATAGCCTGTTCTGAGGTAATTCTCTTTATTGGATCCATAGTGAGCAATTTCTGAAGCTGAAAAGGAAAAAAAAAAAAAAGAAAAAAGAAAGAAAAAACCACCTTTACATTACTGAAACCATTTATAGAAACTTCACTGTATTCCTGAAAAGTTAAGATGATACAAATGTGTGTGAACTGAAAAGCCTAACCATAAATGGCATACCCACATTCTTCTGCCCTGTTAAAATAGTAACTTCATTTCCTATCAAAGGACACCTATTTTCACTCGCAAAGCCCAGGACACTCAGTTCCAGTCCCAAGTGTTCTATCAAAACCATTCAAGAAGTTTCCATGATGTACTAGTACCTTTAATCACAAAATAATTTGGGTTGCAAGGGCCCTTTCAAAGTCAATTAGTCCAGCCCCCTGCCATGGGCAGGGACATCTTTAACTAGACCAGGTTACTCAGCACCTTGTCCAGCCTGACCTTGAACACTTCCAATGATGGGGCATCCTGAACTTTGTGCAACACGTTTCAGTGTCTCATCACTCTGAATAAAGAGTTTCTTCCTAATGTCCAATCTAAATCTACCTTCCTTCATTAAAAAGCCATTATCTTTTGTTCTATCAAAAGAATGTTCCTCTCCAGCTTTCTTGGAGACTCCCTTCCAAGTACTGGAAGGTGTTATAAGGTCTTGTGGGAGCTTCTTCTTCTCCAGGATGAACAAGCCCTGCTCTGAGCCTGTCTTCAGATGAGAGGAGCTCCAGACCTCTGATCACCTTTATGGTCCTCCTCTGCACACAACACCCCAGATGAGGCCTTGTGAACTAGGAACACCAAACCATAACTATTTTATTTAGCTCTAGTGATGAGTTGCAGGGATGCATTCTTAAACTACATTGTTTTTATTCAAAAAGTCTGCAGATACTTCTCTCCATCCACCCTAGCAGCTGTGTGGAATACAGCTGTGCTGGGCAAGCAACATGAGATAACCTTCAGATACCACACAGAAAAATAGTGAGTTTTCATGTTTCAACAATACAATGAAGTGTCCAAAGCAAAACTACACCATGACATATTGTCCAAGACTTTATAACAAATGCTTCACTTTTAACCTGCAGTGTGTATTTTTAAACAAGAAAATACATATGTAAATAAAATTAATTTACATTTCCTACTCATGCTTTTTATAGGATTCATACATTTCACCTTTTTAAAAAGGTCCAGTATCATGATCTAAGTCTGAACTGGTCATCTTTCACTAGGAGAAATTCATAACTACATGTGAGAATTCATAACTGCAATGCAAACCTCTATACTTCAAAAGCTGAGGTTGAGAAAGTACATTTCCCTCCTCAGCCTTCAGTTTTGACAGCACGGTTAAAACTTGATAACTGTGAATTACCACCATCAATTCAGTTTTGTTTTTCACATCATCCACAAGAACTCACAGCTCTCTGAGTCTACATGAAGTTTTTATAGAATAGCATGCTGAACAAGCCAATTCTTACTCTCTCAAAAAGCATTGCCAAGAGCCAGAAAAGGAAAAGGCAAAACATGACAAAGAACTGCCAACACACTGAAAAACACGAATGAAAAGCACTGCAAAATACTAGCATAGTTTGTGATGATTGGATTCTAGAGCTGTCCATTACAGGATGACAAGTCTTGGTCATAATCAGCCATACAAAAAGAAATCAAAATGACTGTGCAACCATTATCCACCCAGGAGATCAAAACTTCTGTTCTGTCCCCTTGTACAGATGACAAACAGAAGTGAACATTCTACACATTATTACAAATATTTTCTATTTTAAAAACTGCTTGATGTAAAGATCACCTAAGTGACACAATAAATATACAGTAAACTTCATATATCATCTATTGATGGGACAATCACTACAGCTTATATGGACCAAAGTAACCACATGGATGATCAAAAAAAAATCAGGCATATAGGAATTTTTAAAAGTAAAAGTAAACTATTGAAAGTATGCAAAGCAGCAAAATGAATAAGGATTGCAGCAACACTGCAAATGTAACTACAGGCTAACACAACTATAATACAACTTCAAGAACAAAATCTTCAAAATTACTTGTTACTGAACCTAATCCAGTGAATGAAACTCAGAATCATTTTTCCAATGTGAGAAGATACTTCATCAATGTGAGAAGATAGTGATTTTGCAATTGTCAGAGTGCAGAGTATCAATTATTCCTAAAATTTATTTATAAAGTTAGTTACATTGGACTTGACACTAGCTCAACTCTTACTTGAAACAACTGTAACATATATAAGGGATTTTTTTATGTCTGCAGGAACTTACCAAGTGGAATGCCTTACTATCTGGTTTAACTTTGTGTTTTTCCATATATTTGATAAGGCTGCAGTTGGTATACCTAGAAAAGTAAACAGAAGTGATAATTCTAATATGCAAAACATTGATACTCCAAAGTTTTCCTGGTAGTCACAAAACATATTAATAAGGATAGTTTAGTCTCCCTGCAAACCCAATAAGCAGGGAAAAACCACAACTATCAACACCAGAGATTGCTTAAGAGAACTGCAGAAAGGCAGTTCTCACATCCTTATAAAAGTATATAATACCCACACAAAAAGCACACTTGGAACCCAGTGTGTAGACAGCAAACCATCAACTGGATTTAAACTGCCTGGCAGCAATTTGACTACTGTATTGTTTGATTCTGTGTATTTCTCATGGCAGTGAAGATATATAATAAGCTCATCTGAATGCTCTCCTGCAACCTACAGGTTGCTACAAGAACATTCACGTATTTACTTTTTGAAGAGAAGCTCAAAAAAAAGGTTTCTAAATGGTTGCAATAACATGGCAGATGCAAGAAATGCATGTAACTATACAGCTCCAAATGCCTCAGCACAGAAATCAGGCAATGGGGTGGCATTTTAAGTGCAGGTATTAGCCTGTGGCAATGTGACAGCAATGCTGAAGGGCATTTTCCTCTTCAGTCACTGTAAGCTACCCTAGACACCAAACCTGACAATTATACCCACTGTTTGCTGGAAATAGTGTAAAGTTACCAGACCCCTTTTAAGCAGCTATTACAGAAAATCACTGCCAGTACCACAGATTTGGGAACAGCTGTGCTTTGACACACTGTGCTTTGCAAACTGCAGAGCTCCTTGGGGTCTTACCGGCATCACCTGATCCAAAGCTGCCACCTTACCCTTTACAGCCTCTGGCTACTCCTCTGATCCACACCACCTCAACAGGCCAAGTTCACCATTATGAAACAACTTTATTTTTCATAATCTAAGTCATAATTTCATAGTCCTTGCTTGGCATCTACATAGAAAACAACGCAAACTGCAAGAAATTTGGTGTAGGAAAGAGATATAAAATAAGCTTTATTAAGAAAGCTCAACCCAGACTTACGTGTTTCTCCGGAAATCTTTCATTAAGGTTGAATGTTCTGGCATCTTTTTTATGTCTTCCCAGTCTTTATCTGCAAAGCAGTATTAATTATTTTTTCCCTTTCTCTCTGAGTAAAACAAAGCATTTCCAAGTATCTCCACAGCCTTGATATTGTTTTTTTTAAGTTCTACTTCTCTAACCTTGTAGTCTTATGCCTTTGTACTCCCTAGCTCCTACTCCTTCTTCGTCTCTTTACAATAAATCATACCAAAACCTAAGAGGTTCCAGCTGCGTGCTGATTAACTCAAGAATTTTGAAAAAAGATGCCAGCTACAGTGGCCACAAAACAATGCTGAAGAAAAACACATCAGGCTTGAGCTTGAACCCTTCAGGACTGTTACTTAATTTATTTAGACACAGCTGTGATCTCAGGACAGGAGTACACAGAACTCCAGCAAACCCTGTCTCCTTCTAAGGGATTCTCTGTTCTGACAGCACTTTTAGTTACAGGAAACTGCCCAGAGGTACTTCAGCAAAGTAAGATATACTGTTATTAAACAAAAAGTTAAGAAAAAGTAAAGTTGGCACACTCAAAATGAAGAAAAATTCACCTCAATGTAGACCAAGGCTAAAATGGATTTTAAAATAAAACAAAAAATTCACTACCAGCACCTAACTTCAAATGTCTTAAGCTCCAACTCTTGAAAAAGCTCTGTGGCCAACTAATTTGGTTCAATTCAAATATTTACTAAGTCTGATCACTACTGCAGAACACTTAGTTTAAGTGTCAATTAAAATGCAAAAAAAAAAATGCTGCAATTGAAGGAAAAGCATTTCTTGAAAAAACCAAAGAACTCCAAAGGTCAAACACAGACCATTAGAAAGGATTCATTAATCCAATCAGAAAACCAAAATGAGAGTATGATCTACTTATACAAGCTATACAGAACCAATGTAAAACCCAAATGAACTAAGTATAACAGCGTAAATTTCTAGTTCAAAAGCAGAAGGGGACAGTATTGCTCAAAGAAGCAAAACTAAGGAGACAATATGCAAAGGCAACATTTCCATGAATCTCACAGAGCAGTACAGAAGCAATGAAGCACATACACACAAAAAAAAGGCAAAAGCAAAAATAACAGCATGTTTAAAAACAAAATTCTAGAACCAACACAAACATATAGACCACAAAATTCATTTGAAAGGAAGAGGCAAGTTCAGGAAAAAAAAAACCAAACAATTAATAGCAGAGCAGGGAACACAAGCAGTGAGGAGAAAGATAAACAAAACAAAAATAAGGCCCCTGTTACTCTGACTCCTGTAATCATGTGAACACTAGAAGACAAAGTATTAACTGAAGAAACAAGGCAGCCTGCATAAAAACAAAGTGTGACCAACACTGAGGGGAAAATGCAACAAGTGATATTCCCACTGTAATTTGTTTTGGTTCATACAACCAGTTCTTGGAAGAAAGAAATTGTTTCTATACCACCAGCTTTCCACCAGGTGGGGGGGGGGGGATCAATACCCTCTATTTACTTTCAAATGCTACATTTCATTTGGCATGAGCTAAACAAATGCATAATATTCACTAAATATATATACTTTTTGCCTGGATTCATAAATCATCAGTCACCTTGCAAATCAATAATCAGTACTGAAGCAATGTAGAAATATTCCTTCTAATTTTTAATCACCCAGCATTAAATACACTCTTTTAAAATAATAAAGCATTGGTATATGTATACACAAAGATAACCCTATCATCAATAAAAGGGAACATACCTAATTTGACCATTGGATTCTAGATCTATAACTCATGAAATAAAGATTGTGTTTGAACAGCTTTGCTGCTTTGATCAGCTGCCACCTTCATATGCAAAGAAAGCAATATGGATATCTTTCTTTGAACAGCAGTGATAAAAAATACAGTATGTACCTGCAGGAAATCCCATTACATTGAATATTCTGTCCAGCTGGTCATGGTGATAAGGATTACTAGTTTTGATATCTTCTTGTCGACAATGGAATATTGGCTCTGATGTTAGCAGCTCTGCAAATATACACCCTATGGCCCAAATATCTTTAAAAAAGGAGAACAGAAATAAAAAGAACAACAAATGAATCTTTCCAAAACGATCTGGATGAGGTAGAATATTAGTGTTTAGCTTATCAGAGATAAGGTCAAGTTTCTATTGTAGAAGTGCAATACTTCCTTAACTTTTTCTTTTAGCTTTGAATGAAGGTACCCAATTCAGAAACTACACAGAAGCTGAGAGAAGAGCATACGAGTTTTTGTGGGGTTTTTGAAGTGCAGTTACCATTTAACATTGTAAAAAATTATTCTGGTTAAGAAAAAAAGTGAAGGAAACTATTGGGATAATGGTCGACACACAAAACACCAAGAAAGTAAAGCCAACCAGCATCTTGTCCTTTCAGTGCCACATTGTCCTGATCAAGAAATGTGCAATTGCTCATCAGCCAAGTTTAAGTAGCAAATGACCCCAAAAATACAAGCTGAAAAGTAGTGGTGTTGGCAAAAAACAAATAACACCTTGAAGGAGAGTAGCACACAAATTGCTACAAGCCCACACACCTCACAACTTTTCCATAACATTCATTTAAAAAAAACCCCAAACCCCACAACCTTTCTCTTTTCACTGTTGCTTTCCTATCTAATAATCACACCTCCTGAATCTTCCCAGTTGTTTTCTCAATTCTTTTCTAGTATATACAAACACAATTTTAAATTCAAAGTGGTGCTACACTGAGCCTTGAATGAACAAGGTCATAAACAAGGACAAAGGCAAATAATGTAAACAGCATAACTCCATTACTCAGTGTTTTTACACAGTAATTTTTTATCTACATTGAAAAAACTATGTACTAAAGGCTATGACTGCACATGCAGTTTCACACGCTGCCATCAGAAGAAACAGCAGTAAAGTGAGAGAACATGAAAATACAACAAATTAAGTAGTTTGAAGGAACATAAACAAATTTATCTGATCTATAAAAGAAACACAGTATTAACAGGAAATAAACAAGAATACATTTAAGGCATAAACATGAGAATTGCTGACAGAAACACAGATAAGATCTTTAAAAAAACAAAACAAAACAAGAAAAAAATATTGAGTTCTGAGGAAGACTGTCAGGTTACAGAAACAACACAGCATGCTGACATACAACCTCCATGTCTGTGCAAAGTGGAGTAGCTGCTAGGGAAGTTACTTGCTCCCAGAATTGGTTGCCAGCCTTTAACACATCTTTTAAATCAGGCAGCGAGAGAAATCTTCCCAGTGCTTTTCCCTACAGTCTCTCTCCCTTCCATAACAAAGCTGATCAATGCAGTAAAAGTGAATCTGATCTCCCTCCAGTTTGCTGCTGGGCTGCTCCCCTGTCATACAGCCCACAAAAGCTCTGGCCATCTGTCAGCTGTCTTTTTCAATGACACAGAGAGGCTAAAATGCAGCTTAATTTTACATTTTAGCTTCAGTGCAGCCACTATATTTTCCACTCTGTACATTCTCTACTGCATATCTTTATTACACTAGGTAATAACCTCTGCAATAAGTTTAATGCACTGTGCCTCCCAGTCATCTTAATATGAATTCTACTAGCAGTTCAAAGATGCTTCCATATTTTTATAGCCTCTACCAGCATTTATGAAAGTCCTGTGTGAAAGCCACAAACTTAGATTGCATTGCAGGGCATTTGGAGATAAAACCCAGCAATATATTTCATTTCTATATATAGCCTGAGACCCCAGGAAACTAATCAATTTGTCAAACATTAATGTTTCTTCAAGAAACAAGGAACATACCTTTAACTCAGCTACAGTCCTTTGAACAATTTATCAAAGCTTTAATATTTGGGTACAGTACATAAAGAACAAAACAGTACATTTTTGTCCAATTTACTTACCAATAGCTTTGGTATAATGCCTTGCTCCAAGAAGCAACTCTGGAGCTCGATACCAGAAGGTTACAACTACTGGATCCAAGTCTGCTAAAGGCTTCAGAGGTGAATTAAATAATCGGGCAAAGCCCATGTCAGCTGCAAAATTCAAAGAGAGATGCTTTAAAATTTGAGGGAAACTAATAATAATTTTTTTTTTGAACAAACTGATTGAGTTTACTTGTTAGCACTATCATCATTCCTAAATAAAATGCAAAGGCAGACTGTAGCAGATATGAACTCTCTGAGCAGATTTTCTTTCTGTAGAAGTTACTGGATGGCATCACCTATGGAGTATATCATTATAAATCATTACTAACATGAGTCATTTACAACAATGAATTAACCATTGTTCTGAAGAAAAGCATAAACTCCTCAGGACACTGGTAAATCCTGACTCATTTTACCTGATGTTCTCTGGTAAAATATTCCCATTATTACAGGATGTTTTTTCACAAAGCAGCAATTTTTAAAGCAAGCAAAATGCAGATTCTGCAAAGGTTAGAATGATTTATAACACATACGTGTACATGACAAAATCTCCCTCTTCATGAAGTTAGCTGTGGCAAGACTTCCTTCACACAAAAACAGCACCTAAGCCTAACAGCATCTGCCTCCTTGCTGATTTTCTATCTAGATGCATTTCCAATATCAATATATCAGTGCTGAATACCATTCAGGCTATGAGTTTAAAATTTTGGTTGTGGGCATTATATCATTAAAACTGCTTTCTAAAATTTGTAGCGTACAACTGCCTAGGAAGTTGTCTGAACAACTAAATATAAGTCATACAGGAAAAAATGGGCAGAGACTAAAATGTGCAGCTTCTCCCACGAAATTGCTTTCCTGACCCACCAACCCCTGAATCCCAAGATAGAGTGACTCTCTCATGTAGGGATATTCATATGCTGAGAAAAACTTGAATGAAATGAGATGAGTAGCTACCCTGAAGGAAAAGGACCTACATGCTATGGCCCAATGAGGAAACACTGAAGTGTAAATATGGGTCTCTAACTTGACTACACAATCCTTAATTATTTTTTCACATGCATTCCTATTTATGATTGCTTTAAGACATTTAAAAAGAGAAACATTTTACAGTTTTCTACATTAAAATATCAATTACTCAAAATTGGTCAAGTCACTAATAACTATGAATAATGAGGAAAATTGTTGGCAGAAAGTGAATTTATGACCCAAAGTGACACAAAAAGACTATAAAAATTATTTTAAGTTAAATACCAGTTATGTATTTTTTAGAAAAATTAGTTACACTGGAAAAGTGGAAGCCCTTGGTATGTGTATAACTTCTGCATTCTTTTACGGCTGTGGCAATCTTAAGAAAATAAGAAAAAAAAAATCTACATTTTGATAACACACTTCAAAATCCAAAGTTCCCCTCCCTCTTTCCCTGCTGGGAATGGATGGCTCAGAGGACTGGTGGCCCAATACAGAATCTTTCACCTGTCCATTAAAGGAGTCTGACTTAATTTAGTTGTTTACTAAGTTATTCTCAAATTAATTCAAAACTATGAATTAAGAAATAAATGGGTGGTCTATGTGCAATTACTAGCAGGTAGTTGTGTACAGCAAATATCACCACCACTGTCAAAAGTGAGTCCAGAGGATGACCTATGTGCTCTGTTTTGGAAGAAACCCTCCTGAAGAGTAAAGTAATATGACGAAATTTTCCCTTCTGTTGTCCGTGCTGTACCTGTTTTCTATGCAGACCTCAATCCCTACTGCCAACCTTAAAAGCTCAGAAAGCCATTAGAAACTTTCAGAGTAGGATCTGCAGAAACATTCAACCCTGGCCTGTCACTCCTTTGATTCCATAGGACAAGGGAAGGCACAGAGCAGCACTGAATGCTCCTAGAAAATCCTACCCTGAATCTTTCTACTAATGACTAACAATATAGTTCAGATCAACAAAACAGTAAGAGAACAGAGCAACAATGCAGAAGAGTAATCTCACAAAAGAAAACCAGGGGGAAGTCAAAAAGATGAACTAGCCTTAAAAAACCCTTCCAAATGGGGCTGCATTACCATAACAAATGTAAGCAGGCTGTGCATTAGTAGCATTGCCCTGATAATGCACAGCCTGGTACAGTTTATTATTTTTAGACTACTGTTAATTTTTATTTATGTATTTAGTTTAAAACAATTGAACTTCTACAAACCATCCTCTCACTGTAAACAGTAACTCCCACCAGAAAATGTTATAATAGTGTGGAGTGTTGGGTCCTTCCTAACCTGGTATACCCCTGGCTAGGCATTTAGGATTAGCTATTCGCTCTCACTAAACATTTTGCATGGATTTCTGTGGTTTCTGCACTTTTAAGATCCCTTGTGTTCATCTCCAAGGGACCTGCCTACTCCTTCAAAAATATTTTGCAGGCTGACTGTCATCTTTGATTCCATTATAAGATTTAAGGTTTGTAGCAATGAGTAGTTCCCTATTTAGATTTTTATAAACAGCATCAAGATGTCATGGCATTAGAGGTAAATGGAGGAAATCTTAAAATCCCATTTTTCTCCTCCTTTCCTCCTAGCTAGCTGTCATCTTTAACCCCACATCAAAATGCCCCACCCCACAAAAACACCCACTTAAGCAAAACATAATGACAATTTCCACTTTCTATTGATGAGGCAACAGCATTTCATTGTCAGAACTGGTACATGGGGCTAATATGATGAAGCCAGTCACTCAGAAAACAGCATTTAGGCAATGTGCCCAGGCACATACTGGTATTATACAGTGACTACTTTAGGTGGTACAACTGCACCTTCAGAACATTCTAACTTAAATGCTACACTGGGACTTATCAAAGATATAAACATACCAATTTTTACTCTTCCTCGCTCAGGACCTTCACCCATAACTAAAATATTAGCAGGTTTCTGTGGAAAAAAAAATAAATATACAATACATATACCACGATAAACCTAAACATTAGTCTCTGAAAAGTTAATTAAGTTTTGTTTTGCCAGTTTTAAACCAACTTTGTTTTGATAAAAATGACAAGTTTGGCTGTCACAGTAACACTGTGCAAGGACCCAGACACAGGCTCTCCCTGACTGCATCCTCCTCTCGTTTCTTCTGGGCATTGCTGTGCTCCTGCAGCACATTCCCTACTCACACCCTGGTGTCTGTCCTCAACATGCACCAGCTGGCAGCCACCCAACTGCTGAGATTTCTACCCAAATTGCCCTAGATCCTTCCAGTGGGAGGCAGTCCCACTGCTACCCACCACCCCAACCACAGGGATGGGAAGCCAGCTCTACAGCAAGCTTTGCCCAGGGTTATTCGGCACATTTGCACACACATTGCACATAAAAATACACAAGTGAGATACAGATGAAACATTATCACTCGATATTGGAGAGAATACCATATCACTTGATTTTGGAGAGAACACTCATCTAAATTCTTCCTATTTACAAGTGTTTACCAATTCACACAGCTGCAAAACTGGAAAGCACTGCCTGTACGTTATTCTTCTGTCTTTCCTTTTTTTCTTTTACTACAGAGGCAAGTTAAAGAACTGAGCTAGAGTTTGGCTGGCTAGAAACATGGTAACTCACTTCATAATCCTCTTATTTTCTGCTGTCCTGTTTCTCATAATCCATTCTCAACATCTGTAGTCACAGGATTCCTCAACTCCTAACACAGTTTACATAATGAAACCTACAGTGCTTATTTGGAGGGAAAAAAGAAACTCACAAGTAAAGCTGACAATGTATGCCAGACTTGTTCTCAAATGGAGTGATTTAGATACCCATTAGTTCTGTAAATCCTGGACAAAATAGGGATTCCTATTCAGTTGTGACCTCTAAGATTGTAGTAAGGTTGAGTTACAGCTCTTGCTTTGCTTTTCCAGTTTAAACAGATCTGAAGGTAAGAGTACCTGAGCAGAACAGCTCAGACCACCTAAAAGTTAATGTAATAAATTCTACTATCTTTGTGTGGTTTTCTAAACACATTCTAGGACATTCCCAAGTCTTCCTGAATCTATCAGGCTCTAATGTAAACACACATGCAAAGAAGCAGAACACCACAATATGATATCAACCTAGAAGTAACTGCTATTATGTAAAAACAAGGTAGAAAATATTAGCACTTGAGCAAAAATTTTCCTTGAGAAATTAAATTATTGTTGTTTATGAAAGGCTGCAAAATGGATTTCTGAAACTCTACAGTCCTTGGACAAAATACGTAAACAGAATCAGAGGCATTGCATTTCTGAAAACAGGTTAAGGATAGAAAATCTCATCAAAAATGTGGTCAAAAAAGATGAAATATACTTCATTGTCTTTCCAACAGCAAGAACAACAGATACAGCTTGTGCTGTATTAGCTCTGTGATTTCCAGAAGAAATTGTTCCCCACATCACCACCATCCCCTTTTGCTTTTTTTTAAATAAAGGCATACACTCCAGATAAGTATTGCTTCAACATTAAAAAATGCAGAATGTGGGCACACAGCTCTCAAAGTATTTAATTTAGATTGCCTCTACAAAAGTCCTAGAAATAAACAAACAGCATACATCTTTAAATTCATAGTTAGTGCTGAACTTTATGGCAATTCAATCTGCTAGGTATGAAAACACATCATTTCACCAAAGAAATCTTTCTATTGCTACATGGTGACTCAAAGAACAAATCCACATCTCTAACAAAACCTGCTTCAATACATATGGGGTGTTAAGCTACGTGTCTAATTATCATGTTTTCATTAGAGTTAACAATATATTACACAGGCACTAGAATTTTTCAGATATATAATACATGGACATAATACATAAAGTACCATTTTTCCCCCTTCAAGTTCACAGGTTGATAATACTCTACAAAAATGCTTTTAACATCTTCATGGTATTTTCACCTTAAAATATTTTACTGTTTGGATTTTGGTAAGGACAAGAAGTCCTATTCACACAAAGACTGTCAAATGTATTATACCATATGACTACTGAGCCGAGCACTGGGTAACAATTCCTGCACCAAAGATCTCCTACCCTAAGGTCAAGGCAGGTAGAGATGAGAAAGCACAGTAAGACAGTACCAGTCAGCAAAGTAAGTATCAACAGCTTGATGCACACTCAAATTTCAGAAGTTACAGGACATACTTAACAATAGAGACAATTTAGAAATCTGTGTAGGAGTATTCTAAAGCAGCAAGATAAAAAAGAACCCTCAGTTGGTCTGAAATATTCAGTAAACCTTTTTCTAAAGCCACAAGTCCTTCACTGAAAACAGCTCTGTTTGGAACACAAGATTTTTCCTACAGACAAAAGTATTTATGTAGTCACATCACTGTAAAAATATATCAGAGTTAAAAAAAAAAAAAAGTAAATTACATGTCTTATTCTGGAGTCTTCCATTTCTAAAATCATTGTATGCAGAGACTGGAACATTTTTTTGTTCAAAAAATTTTCCAAACAAGACCGTTCCACTTAAATTTAATAGGAGGATATCTACTAGAAATCAGTATAGGAGTAGTATTGATGTACCTAAATACTAAGCATTTTGAATAATCCCTGAAAAACACTGAAGTCCACTAACAAAAGTGAATACATGTGTCAGGAATTATTGTTACACATCTTTTAATCGAGTCCACCATCTGAAGATAAAAAACCTCAAGAAGTCCTCAGAGTTGTCTATTTGGGCAACTCATTACACATTAGAAATTTATTTGCAAAGAAAAATAAGCAGTCATTAGAAGCAGAAGGGAGAAATTTGGATAAGCATTAGTTGAATTTGTTAATTTTCAGTTTAATTCTAATTATCCAGAGAAAATTGAAGTTGAAACTGCTTATTCAAATCACTTGGGCTGAGCAAGTGAAGCAAAATCTTTTAGCAATTCTTACACTGTATTCTGAAAATACTCTACTTTAAAGCAGCTATATTTTTTTTTTATAACTACAAATTACCAACTAAAGTCCCTAATTTTTGTACTAATAAAGGAATAATTACTTTTGTCATTCAGTGAAATAATCTGTGCATGCCAGACAAATGCTAATGAGAAACCTGTTATGAAACTAAGCCTAATGTGAAGAGCCATGCAGTGATGTACAGCTGAATATTTCAGAGACCAACAAAAGTGTCTGGCAATCCCACAGAACTAAATTCAAGAAAAATCACCCTTCTCCTCCCACATCCACCTCAGCAGCAGAGGGAGAATTCATTCCCATGAAAGAATGACCTTGTGACCATGGCACAGCACTAAATCTTATCTTGTTCTATATTTGCCTTTGTAGGACTCCTCTTTATGATTCCTAAACAAATCCTCTTGTGTATTTAATCACTATTACTGCTGAAAAGAGAACCCAGTGATATATCTTTAGGTACTTCTAATTTAACAATTATTTGCAAAGTGCAAAAAGAAATTCTGAACAGCAGGCTAGTTTTAACCAAGGGCGGTAAAAACCCAAAGAGGTTCCTAGATCTGTGAAGAACGTGAGACAGTCACCTTTACCTATCTGCCTGATCTCACACAGTACTGCCCGTGGTCACCCTGAAGTCTCTGGTGACAAAGGCTGCACAATTCCCATGCAATCTTGTCTCTTTCACTCTTCTCCACTGCAGTGTTCTTCCTTTCCTTCTACCACCACAAACAAGGTTAGTCCCCTTGCCTCTTCTCTTCTTCATTAGCAGAAGGCAGACAGCCACTCCTTCACTGCAAGAACTTCCAACACTTCCTGGGACAAACATCTCTCTTCAGTCCTATTACCTAGATTAAAAAAAACCCTGAAGCTCTCTCCTGCTCTGTTTCTTGGTAGGCTATTTTTGTTTCTGGATCTATGCTCATTCTTGCTGATTTCCTCTAGCTGTTCTTCCTTGAGCTACCCATTTCTTTGAACTCCAGTGCTGCAAATTACACATTGCTCCTGCTGAGGCTTCACTAATGCTAAATGCAGTGGAGAGATTATTTTACATGCCTTGCACAGCATCTTCCACTCTGTATGATCCCAGTATGGTATCCTGCCTCACTGCATAAGGCTATTGATGCATGTTAAGGTTACCAGCTGTGCATTTTCTTCATATCTTTTTGGCAGGACTACTACTATGAACAAACATTGCAGTCACATACTGCTTCTTAACATATACTGAAAATATTTGTGTTCTTTCACAGACGGGAAATTAGACTTCAGAACTTATCTGAATCGCTGTCTTGAAGGCAAAAATGCAAACACAATTAAAATTATACCAGTCTATGTCATGATGAGATGTGACAAAAAGAAAAAAAAAACCACATCATTCCTGCTGCTCAGAGGAAGTTATTGATGGAAGCAGGAGATGCTTATTTATTCCAAATTTGTATAAAAGGTATCTGGAAATCTTAGGACATTGTCTCATGCTCCTGGAAAAGTATTTTGGTGTTAGGCCCTCCTTTCACTAAGCTTTACTCACCAAAGCAGTGAGGAAAGAACTGGGCATTTTTAGACCGCTTCGCCATTGCAATTTTTGATACATAGTACTTTAAGCATCAAACCAGTCTGCAGGAACTACTATTTCACATAGGTTTTGCTACTACTTTGTTTCTGAAATCACCAGTTTTCAAAGACTGATTTTAAACACAGGTATCAGTGAGTCATCTAAACTCCTTTGAATTACCTATTATGATATTGTCAATGCTACCTCCTCCCCATCCACATTATTAACTGCTTGCAACATTTCTATGTATACTAATAAACAGACTCCGACTCTTTACACATCCTTTTAAAGGCACCTTTTAATAAGGTTTTAGTATAATCCTAACCAATTTTCATTTGGATAATCCAATACTTACGAGTTGGGCTCCTAAAACATTACACTCTAGAGGATTCACAATGATGGGGTGAGTCACACCAGGGATATTTGTTAACTCCTGGTATTTGTGCATCCTTACTGGCTGCGGG